CAAATTTTGTTATTTTTTACTATCTTGCCACAAACATTGATTGCATTATTTTTAATCATCATTTCTGAGAAAGGGATGTTTCTTGGATGGTTATTTTAATAAGTTTATTAAATGTTATTAGTTATAGATTCTGTAATTAGTAATTACATAATTTTAACCCAAGTAATACTACACATATCAAATCTTTAAGAACGACAAAACGAAAAAGTTTGGTAATGTTCAATGTTGCTAGAGGCATAGATAAACTGGTACTTCCTTTATATATAAAACACATACAAATGCAATTATGAATTCATATAATTTTTCTGTAACTTGATCAAGAAGTAGTGCTTAAACTTTTTATGTGCAGAATATTTAGTGCAGCAAATCTACTTTGAGAAATTTATCCTAATAATGAGAAAACATCTAAAAATACATGTATAAGGATAATTATTTCAGACTTGCTAATAATAATGAAAAATTATATGTAATTAGTAATATTTATTAATAGGATTTTATAATGATATACAAGTTTTAAAACAAAAGTGATATACAGAGGGTGCCAAAAAATGTATACACATTTTAAGAAAGAAAAACTGTATTAAAACTGAATTTTTAAAAAACTGAATATGTACTGATAACAAAAGATAAATACAAGTCACGTTTGACTTCTGCAATTACAAGAGGTGCTCAAACTGATTACCATCAGTGTCCAGACACTTCTGATTATGGCAAACTACTGCTTGAGGAATGCTAACCAAAGTGTCCACCTGTATACAATTTTTTGGCACCCCCAGTATAAGTAGTAACTGACACAAAAAGACATGTTAATTAGCGAAAAACTCATCAGCCAATCCTGTCTCCCACACTATAACTTTAAAAAACAAAGTCTGGCAATCAAAAGGTATTTTACATAGTTAAATACATTCTTCAGTCTCTAGAGCAGCAGTTCTCAACCTGTGGGTCGCGACCCTTTTGGGGGTTGAATGACCCTTTCACAGGGGTTGTCTAAGACCATCGGAAAACACATATTTTCGATGGTCTTAGGAACTGAGACACCGCTCCTCTATCTGTTTCCAGGTGGGTCCGCCCACATGCAGAT